GGCACTGCCCTAAGTCCCCCCCCCCCCCTTGCATCATAAGCAAAGTCGAAATAAAGTATTTCCGTCAATATCAACAAATTTGCATGATATTACGATGGATAGTATCGAAAAAAGTATTTATGATGGTTGCAAATATACAAGATCTTTTGCTGAAAAATGAGGAATGCCTTCGATTTTGATAAAGGAGAACGTTTTTGAATTAAATGATATATGCGCAAGCATACGTGAAGATTTAGAAAATATTATTTATATCAATTATAATATATATATTAGATAATGATGATAATTGTGATTCAGATGAAGAAACAGATTATTATTCATTAGCAACTGATGCAGAAGATGAAAGTGAATCTGAGTATTCAGAAACAGAAAATGAATGTAAAACATCTACAAAAAATGGTTATAACAGTATGAGAATTTTTTCTAGCATTTGTGATAAAGAAAAATATAAATTCTTCGAAGTTGAAATCAATGGCAAATTAAAGTACATTCATAAACAAACAGCTGCGTGATATTTAACCAGCAAAAATAATAAATTATCTTCAGACAGATTAGTTCGTGTTCAAAAAATGAATAAACAATAAATTAGATCAAGTTATTTGATGCTCATGTTTGAACCAAAATAATATGCTAACTCTCGTCTTCACTATTAGCATGTATATTAGATTAGCAATCATTATTTCATTTTTTTTTATAAAAACATTTTTGTCACTTATGAACAAAGTAATTTTTTTCTGAATACCCTGTGAATATTTGAATTGTCAAAACTAGAAAGTTAAGGAAATTTCCTGAACATATTAAATCGCTTTCTTAGTTTATTCGGATTCGAAATTACGCTAATTATTCTCGTTCAAGAACACTGTTGGTTAAAACACCTTTGTCGATTCTCTAGGAAGTGACTGTATCTACTGTTGTATTTCTTCAATAAATATTTGTAATTGTAACTCATTGTGAACGATAAAGTCAGCATATATTTCTTAAAGATATCTAAACTTTCTTATTCTGATAACTGTTTTAAGCAAAATTGAACAAAATAATATAATCGAATATTTGCGACATTAGTTGTTATCATTCAACATCTTTTATTTTCATCATTGTAATATTTCACCATGACAAAAAACCAATAGTCTTCTCTGGTACACTATAATTGATCTGATGTTAACGGCATTCTACTCACTGTTATCGACAGCTAAATTGTATGTGTGTAATTTTTTTATTCTTCAAGGTCACTTGAATATTTTAGAAAATCATTTATTAATTGTGAACAAAAAATACGATGTAAAATAATAAGGAATCCTGGGTATCCCAGAACACCTAGATTATATGAGAACAAGTCCATTCACTTAACACATTGATTTGAGGATTCTTACTAAAATTAGCGCAACTTCAGCGGCATTTGGATTTTTTTTT